TGGCCATCTGTGAAGCCTGGCTAATCAGGGGCCCTGGAGGCGTGACCAGAGCCCAGAAGGCGTGGCGGGAGCCAGGGAGGTGTGGCCAAGGCCCAGGAGGCGTGGCCATCTGTGAAGCCTGGCTAATCAGGGGCCTTGGAGGCGTGACCAGAGCCCAGAAGGCGTGGCAGGAACCAGGGAGGCATGGCCAGAGTCGGGGAGGTGGGACCAGACGAAGCCTGACTGGTCATGGGTCTGGGGGCGTGGCCAGGACCTAGGAGGTGTGGCCAAGGCCCGGGAGGCGTGGCCAGAGCCCAGAAGGCATGACAGGAGCCAGGGAGGCGTGGCCAAGGCTTAGGAGGAGGGGCCAGATCCTGGGTGGTGTGGCCAGACGAGGCCTGATTGGTCATGGGCCCGGGGGCGTGGCCAGGGCCCGGGAGGCGTGGCCGTGTGAGGCCTGGCTGGCCACAGGCTCATCTAGTCCCTTCCCCTCCCAGCTTCTCTAGCTTGGTGGCAGCTACAGTGCGGGAGCTGGCTCCTCGTTGTGCGGTCACCTTCCTACAGTCGGAGGACGGGTCTGGCAAAGGTGCAGCTCTAGTCACCGCCGTTGCCTGTCGCCTGGCCCAGGAGGCCCAAGTCTGAGGAAGTCTCTGGGAACGACAGGACAAGGATCTGCGGTTCAAGCTGTCCCTGAGCCAGCCCACCCGGGACTCCCAGACAAGCCTGTGTGTGTGACCATCTGCCCCTTGTGCCCTGACTTTTTTTCTTTCCCCAAAGAAGAGCAGGGCACTGGGGGTTAGCAATATATATATATAATTTATTTACATTCACGTCCGCTAAAATCCCTATGCGCCCCGGCGGCTGGGCAAGGCTGTGTACATAAGGCCAAGTATAAGTGCACGGATGCACTTAAGACAGAGTCAGGACACAAGCTCCACATGACAGGCCCCCACACGTGGGGGGGGCCACCAGCCAGCCCCCCAGGAACGGCACACACACTCTCGCCATTGTACAGCCCGGGACTCTCAATTGCATATTCACACGCCCTCCCGCCGGGCAGGGCACCTCAAGGCTGGGGACAGAGGAGAACCAGGGAAGGAAGCCATTGGGTGTCCCTGAATGGATGTGGACCAACACTGGGTGTGAGAGACGTGAGTGTCCTCTGGGTGCACAGCATGAGATGTGTGGTGGTGTCGGGGAGAGACAGGGGGTGCATGGGAGATGAGCACACAAGCGTGTGCTTGTGTGGTGATCGTGTGCCTGAATTGAGGGGCCACCCCCCTCCCCTGTCTGGCTGAGGCCCTTGGTCCCTCAGGCTTGAGGCTGGGCCCCTCACATACGCCCCCCTGCCCCTTTACCCAGCAGACACAGAAATGTTTGCATAAGGCCTGGCTTAGGCAGGAGTCCGGGGTAGGGCTGCGCCTCAAGCCCAGGGTGTGCGTGCATGCCCGTGCGTATGTGGGGACAGGAGAGGTAGCAACACACATACACACACACACACACGCACACACACACACACACACACACACACGCACACACACACACAGAGATGGGCTGAAACCCGGCCCAGGCTCCAGACATTGGTCTACCCTGGGCCCTTGGGCTGGGGCAGATTGTGAGAAGGTGGCCGTACCAGGCAGGCCGTGAAAAGGATGGGAATTCGGGCAGGATTTGGAGGCACCATGAAAGGATCACTTTGGCCAGGAAGGGGCCTGTCCAAGAAGCTCTCCTCAACATGGAGGTTTTGGGGGCTCCTGCCCGACTTGTTTTTTTTGTTGTGTTTTTCTGTTTTCTGTTTTTTTTTGCCTGTCCCTGGCAGGTGCCAAAGCTGGTGAGAGTGTAGGCGCTCCAGGCCTGACTGTCCTCAGCACTCGGCCTCGGAGACGGTGAAGAGGCCCGCGTCTGGCTGGCCTAGGCCGGCCACGGCCGCGGCGAGCTGGCTGAGGTTACCGTTGGGGAAGTGCCGGGCCTCCCACAAATTGAGGATCATGGCTGTGGGGCTGGGCTTGGAGGCAAAGAAGCTGAGATGGCTGTGGAGAGAAGAGGAGGCCGGCCATCAGCCCAGCCTCCACCCAGGCTGCCACCTCCTGGTCCCCAAGAGACCCCCCCCTCCCTCTCAACCCCCCAGCTGCTAGTGGACATGGTCCAGGCTCTCTGCAGCGCCTTCCTGTCTTCTCCATTGTCCTAACTTCCCAGGCTGGACAGGAGGTGGCCCTTGAACCCCCTGCCCCCCCTTACCTGTCCAGGTGGAGTTTCTGGGCTAGAGTCTGCCAATCGGCGCCCCGACTGCAGGGCGGGTCTAAGCTGCTAATGATCTTCTGTCGAATGAGGAAGGGGATCTTGAAGGCACTGGGCCCCACCAGGGCTGGGACCCCCCCTTCGCTCTCCAGGGCCAGCAGTTCAGAAAACCTCGTGTCCTGGGTGGGTGGGTGGGGGAGGCAGGGAAGAGGGGAGGCTGTTAGAACTTCCTCTCCTGCTGCATCCTTCTGGGGGGGGGAGCCCAGAGACCATTTCAGAACATGGGGGGGATAGGGTGGGTGGGGAAGATACAGGGGACGCCCCTGTTATCTGCAGACATGGAGCCCCCTGTCCAAGGTCACAGCCAATGAGCAAGGAGGCCCCCAACTTCCTCGCCTTCCCCTCTCACTCCGCCACCAGTGCCAACCACCCACTCTGCTCTCCTCGCTGTCTGCGTCCTTCTGCTTAGTACCCACTGCCAGGGCTGGCTCCGTCCCACACTTCTGGGTCCCTGAGGACCCATGGAAAGACTCCCAAGGAACTCCTGCCCTGCCTCCTCCTGCTATACTCTCCTCTACTGCCTGCAAACTGGCCAGAAGGCTGGGGAGAGCCTCACAGGCAAGGAGACAGGGTAGATGGGGGTGGGGTGCAAAGCATTTCCTGTTCCACCTTGGTGATTTTTTTGGGGGGGGTCTTGGGGCTTGAGCTCTGGGCCTGGGCGCCGTCCCTCAGCTCTTCAGCTCAAGGCTAGCGCTCTACCACTTGAGCCACAGCGCCACTTCTGGCTTTTTCCTGTGTCTGTGGTACTGAGGAATCGAACCCAGGGCTTCATGCATGCTAGGCGAGCACTCTCCCCACTGAGCCACCTTCCCAGCCCTACCTTGGTGATGTTGAAGTTGATGTTGAAGCTCTGGCCTTCACCCTCCACCTGCCACACCCACACCTTGCAGGCCAGGTCGCTGGTGCTGGGGTGGACGCGCTCCAAGGTGAAGGTGCAGTGCAGGTACTGCTGTGTGCCATTCCAGATGTGGTAGAAAGGGATCTCCTGGGGAAGGGAAGAGAGTTGGGATTACGTGTGCCCCGCACCAGTGCCCTGGGCCCGCGGGCCCCGTGCCCAGACCTCACCTGGTAGCTGACCAGGAGCTTGCTCTTCCACAGCGAGCTGGCCACGTCGTGGATGGATAGGCGCAGGTTGTGGTAACTGTCCTTGAAATGCAGGACGCGTGGCTCCTGGATTAACTGGCCGCCCAGCTGCTTTTCCAGCTGTACCACCTCCTGTGGGGCTCGGGCAGATCAGCAAGGGGGGACTGGAACCCAGAAGCCTCCCCGGCCCCCTACACCCCAGGCCTCGGGGTGGAGATCAAGGCCAGGGATGCTGGGAGGGGCTACCTTGAGCGCATCATGGGTGTCCTGCAGGCAGTAGACCCGGATGTTGTACTCCAGGGAGGTGCAGGCCAGCGGGGCGAAGAGGAGCAGCTTGAGGCGCTTGGCAGCGGTCACGCTCAGGGCCTCCCCGACCAGGGCGAAGCGGCCCAGCTGCTCCGTAAAGACGTAGCAGGCACCCGCCTCCAGCTGGCAGTAGTAGAGGTGTGAAGGCGACTCCTCGCCCAGATGCAGTACATCCTGGTCGGAGGGAGGGAGGGAGGGGACAGGACCCCAGGGGTCAGCGCCCAGCCTGGGCCAACAACGTGAGGCTCTTAGAAAGAGCCAGAAAGAGCCGGGGTGCTGGTGGCTCCCGCCTGGCATCCTAGCTACTCAGGAGGCTGAGATCGGAGGAGGGAGGCTCCAAGTCAACCCGGGCCAGGAAAAAGTCTGTAATAAGACTCACCTCCCGTGAACCAGCCAAAAGAAAAAAGCTGGAGGTGGAGGTGTGGCTCAAATGGTAAAACACCAGCCTTGAGTGAAAAAATCAAGAGCGGACGCCCCAGTACACACGCACACACACACACACAGACGCCAGAGCCTGGTGGGAAGATGGCCTCTGGGCCTGGCCCCCCCACTCACCTCCCATGTGCCCTCGCACGATTGCTTCTTGAGGCGCAGGCTCCAGCTGTCCAGGCTGGGCTCTCCACAGTGGTCCATGGCGAGGATGACCGGCCGGGTCAGCAGCACGCCCGGGGGGCCACAGCTAACAATGGGACTCAGCAGGGTCTGACAGCCGGCTAGGGGCAACCTCAAGTGAGGAAATATGGGTGGGGAGAGAAAGGCATTAGAGGCCAATCCTGGAGCTGAGGGGCAGGGGGGAGGCGGGCCCAGGTACGGCTCCTCCCTCCCTCTGCCCTCCCTCCAGCCAGCTCCCCCCCTCGCTCCCCCACGGTCCCCAGCCACACCTCACATCCTCGGGCTTGTGCAGCGTCAGGTAGATCTCGTAGATCTTGCCTCGGGGGATGGCGTCCGGGGGGATGAGGAGGCTGATCCCTGGAAAGGCAGGAGAGGCTGATCCGCTGGGGACACGGGGCCCAACCCCCACACGGGGGCCACGCCGCATGGAAGCAGCGGAGGGGGGTCCCAGAAATCTAGGATGGAAGGTGTCAGATGCACTGTCCCTCCCTGCCCTGTTGCCCAGCCTGTCATCCTAGCTACTCAGGAGGCTGAGATCGGAGGATCGCGGTTCAAAGCCAGCCCGGGCAGGAAAGTCCGTGAGACTCTGATCTCCAATGAACCACCAGGAAACCACAAGTGGCGCTGTGGCTCAAGTGGTAGAGCGCTCGCCTTGAGCTGAAGAGCTGAGGGACAGCGCCCGGGCCCAGAGTTCAAGACCCCTCAGCTGACCAAAGAACAAAACCAAAAAACTATCTCTGCCTCTGTGAACAGGTCCAGCTCCCTGGCTTGGTATCTAAGGCTGTTTTTCTCTTGCTTCTCATGGTCTGTTTAGCAGGACCCTCTAAGTCCAGCCCAGGCCAGCCCAGGGCTCACGGCCAGCAGTTCTGGGTCATCTGCCCTCTGTCCATTCCCAAGATGCCCTTTCTCCATCAGCCTGGCCCTCTGGGGTTTGGCCACGCCCTACTGCTGTCTCCCGGTCTCTGCACACGGGGCCCGGTCTTTACCAGCCCGAGACCTCGCATCAAGCGGGGGTTCCAAGCGCATGGCAGCAGCAGCTGTGCGGTGGGCGGGCTGGAATATCACGACAGCCATGTGGCACATAAGGACAATCCACTTGATGATGAGCCACAATACAATGAGGGTCTCGTTAAATCTTATCTCCTGCTGGGTGCTGGGTGGCTCATGCCTGTAATCTCAGCCATTCTGGAGGCTGAGATCTAAGAATCACAGTTCGAGGTCAGCCCTGGGCAGAATAGACCATGAGACTCTGCCTCTTTTTTAAGGGGTCCTGGGGCTTGAACTCAGGGCTGGCCGCTGTCCCTGAGCTTTTTCCCTCAAGGCTAGCCCTCTGCCACTTGGATTCACAGCTCCATTTCCTGTTTTCTGAGAGGTTTATTGGAGAGAAGAGTCCCACGGACCTTCCTGCTCGGGCTGGCTTTGAACTGCGATCCTCAGATCTCAGCCTCCTGGGTAGCTAGGATGACAGGCGTGAGCCACCGGTGCCTGACCTATGAGATTCTTATCTCCAGCTAACCAGCACAAAGCTGGACAGGTAAGCATGGCTCAGGTGGTAGAGCAGCACCAGGCTTGAGTGCAAGGCTCTGAGTTCAAGTTTCCAGTACTGGTGCGTGTGCACATGCACACACACACACACACACACACACACACACACACACACAAGGCTGAGGCTCAGCTCTCAGCCTGGCAGAGTTAAAGGACAGCGAAGCTACAGATCAGGCCAGAGACAAGTACCACCCCGCCAGGGGACAACAGCCCAAGTGTTGCTGTCTGCCTGTCTCTTCATTACAGCTGACAGCTGCCACCACATTTTACTCCCCAAGAGCCCCAGGAAGAGGGGGGGCAGGAGGCCCAGCCAGCAGAGTTGTCAAGCCAAGACCCCAGAGGAGCTGGAGGAACAGTGGCGGGAATCTGTCTACGAGCAAGGCAGGGAGCATAGTACATCTTGGGGTGGTGGTGGTGGGGGCGGGGGGGGTTGGGTACGGAGGCTTCACAGCGGCTGCCAGGGTCATCGGCCTGGTCACGTGGGCTTTGCAGGGAGCCCGGATGGAGCTGGAGCAGGGGAAGAGACAGGGATTTCAGCGAATGCATGAAGGTCAGACGAGATGCGGGACCGGTGGCTGGGGGGGGAGGGGGGGAGGGAGGGAGGGGAGGGCAGGGGGGGGCAGAGGAGGAGAATGCACTGTCAAGGTGACCCCAGGGGCCTCATTCTGACTCATGGCGGGTGCTGTGTGTGGGAAAGCCAGGAAGGAGGCAGCTTTGGGGTAGGGGGGGGAGGTGGGGGGGCACGTGGAAGACAGTTCTGTTTTAAGCCCGGGAATCTGGGGTGCTGTGAGACATCCAGATGGCGGTGCCCGAGAGGCAGCTGGGTGAGTGGTTGTGGCACGGGGAGGTGGGGTCTGGGGCTGCAGGGCGGGGACGGCTGGGTACAGATGAGGTCATGAACGCCATGCGTGACCCCCGATGCAGCACCGTGGGCGAGCAAGCTCGGGGGGGGAAGGAGGGAGATTTGGGGGAACACCTCCATGGAGGTACGCGGAGCAGCCTGATGTGGGGGGGCCAGGAAGCGCATGGGGGTCCACCCAAAGCGGAGGACATCATAGAAAATTCCAGGGCACTGGACCTGGGAGGGTGGGCAGGGCCAGGAGGCAGTGGGAAATCCCAGGAGGTCTAGGGCGTGCTGTGTGGGTCTCTGCGGTTGTTTAGAAGTTCTTCAGACAGGTCTGGCATCCCCCCCCCCCACTCGCCCTCAAGAGCCCAGCAGGGAATAAACATCTCTAGGAATAAATGAATAAAAGCCAGGCGCTGGTGGCTCACGCCTGTCATCCTAGCTACTCAGGAGGCTGAGATCTGAGGATCGTGGTTCAAGGCCAGACAGGCAGGAAAGCTTATGAGACTCTTCCTGCACCACCACCCCCCAGCCCCCGACCCCGAGTTGTGGGGCTGACTTCACAGCCTGTCCCTGAGTTCTTTTTGTTCCGGGCTAGCTCTCTACCACCTTGAGCTACAGCACCACGTCCGGTTTTCTAGTGGTTCATTAGAGATCAGAGTCTCACAGACTTGCCTGCCCAGGCTGGCTTTGAACCGCGATCCTCCGAACTCAGCCTCCTGAGTAGCTAGGATGACAGGGGTGAGCCACCAGCGCCTGGCCCCATAAGACTCTTATCTCCAATCAACCACCAAAACAAAAGTGGAACTAGCCTTGAGCCCAAAAGCTCAGGCCCTGAGTTCAAGCTCCAGGACCAGGACCATCAATCCATCAATAGGAAATGAGTAAAGCATCTGTCCAGGGGCAGCAGAGAGAAGGTTAGCTCTGGTCACCATCCCATAGCCAGCCCTCACTGGGTTCCATTGCCCCCCACCATGGCTGGCCATTCGGGGTACCCAGGGGAACCCCCTACGAAGGGAAGTGGAGGCAGTCTGGGGAAGGAGGCCTCTCCTACCTGTGTTGGGGAGCATCAACCGGCCTCCCAGGAAGTTGAAGGTCCCATAGGCCATGTTGCTGGTCCCCCGGGGGAGGGAGCGGAAGTAGTTTTGGGTGGACAGGCGGGACACGAACTCTTCGGCCTCCGAGGTGGGCGAGCTGTGGTGCAGCGTGTGGCGGCCGCTGCCCAGTGGGCTGAGCAGGTGTCCGTTGGTGAGCTGGAACTTGGGGCTGGTCCCGTCCTGCCGGGGACACAGGCTGCTCTGGTAGGTGGTGGTGCTCAGGTCTGGTTGGATGGTGAGCAGGTGGGGGTTATCTGCAGGGATGAAGACAAAGGCTCAGGGACGGCGTTTTCTAGTTCTTCTTTGCCAGCCATTGTATGGTTCTTTAGGTTGGTCAGTCGTGGGGCTTGAACTCAGGGCCCAGAGATTATCCTTGAGCTAGTTAGTGCTCTACCACTTGAACCACACCTCCACTTCTGGTCTTTTTTGTTGTTGTTGTTTTGGTGATTAACTGCTCATGTCTCAGGGACTTTCCTGCTCCTGGCTGGCTTCGAACCACGATCCTCAGATCTCAGCCTCTCTGAGGAGCTAGGCGGACAGGCATGAGCCACAGGCACCCAGCCTGGGAGTGGTCCTTTGGTGTGGGGGGGTCTTGGGCAGGGGTGCTGGGACTGAGGGGGGCCCCCCCGCCTCACCGGTTTTGCTGGGTTTGATGCTGACGGGTTGGAAGCCTGAGGTAAGAATAGAAGAGTCGGCCACGTCTGAGTCCAGTCCTTCCTTCTTCCGGCAATACACGAGGATGAGGACCAGCAGGAGCAAGACAAGGCACACAGCCACGGCAATGAGGCCCACGTAGAGGGCCACGTCCTCAGGGCCGGAAGCAGCTGTGGGAGAGGAGGGGTCTTGAGAGAGGCAGGGGGCAGGGGGCGGAGCCCACATCCTTCCCAGGCATGCCTAGAGGGCCAGGCTCCCAGAATTCCCTAAATGAGGGTGGCCTGCAAAGATCCAGATGTTGAACACTCCGTACCCAGTGTGGCAAGCTCAGAGGTGGTGGGATTTCCTAGGTCACCGTGAGTACTGCCCCGGGAAGAGATTAAGGGAGTTCTTGTGGGACTCAGGAAGGTCCTGGTGAGAGGGTTCTTATAAAAGAGCAAGATGAAGCCAGGTACCTATAGCTCACACCTGTAATCCCAGCTACTCAGGAGGCTGAGATAGGAGAATTTCTGTTTGAAGCCAGCCCAGGCAAGAAAGGCTGTGAGATTCTTATCTCCAATTAACCACCAAAAAAGCAAAAAGTAGCTAGGCACCGGTGGCTCACGCCTGTCATCCTAGCTTCTCAGGAGGCTGAGATTTGAGGATCACAGTTCAAAACCAGCCCGGGCAGGAAAGTCCATGAGGCTCTTATCTCCAATAAACCACTCAGAAAACTGGAAGTGGCGCTGTGGCTCAAGGGGTAGAGTGCTTGCCTTGAGCTGAAGAGCTGAGGGACAGCACCCAGGCCCAGAGCTCAAGCCCCACGACTGACCAAACAACAACAACAACAACAAAAACCCCTGTGAGCTAAACAAACCTCTTTTCTTTAGCAAGTTCCCAACTTCAGGTATTTTGTGATGGTAATGGCCTGCCACGCATATACCAATGGATCTGTTTCCTGCGTGCTTACAGGTCAGTACCTCTTTGCCTGCCGAAGCGGGTGGGGTGGGATGGGGAAATCACCCACTCGGAGGAGGCCATATTGATTTTAGAGGGCTTTTTACATCACAGAAGAAATGTCCATCAGAAAAGAATTGACACAGATAATTGGGTTTTTAATTGAAAGAATGGAGGAGGGTGTGTTTGAGAGAGAGAAAGAGAAAACCGCCCCACAGAGATCTTTGTTAGTGATGGCCTTGTAATTAACAGCCTCACAAGGCTGGCATACAACCCCCCCCCCCAATCAGGGATGAGGGATGGAGGGGGGAGCTGGGGGGACCAGCAGATGGTTGTGTAAGAGTCTGTCTTAGGAGGGGGAGGAAGGGTGGGCAGGTGTGAGCACACCCGTGGGCAGGGCCCGGGTGGCTCACGCCTGTCATCTTAGCTACTCAGGGAGGCTGAGATCTGAGGATCGAGGTTTGAAGCCAGCTGGGGGAGCAGGAGAGTCCATCAGACTCTAATCTCCCATTTGCCACCCAAAAGCCCGAAGTGGCTCAGGTGTGGCTCAGGTGGTAGAGCATTAATCTTGTGCAAAACAAAACCAAAAAATCTAACCAAGAGCAAAAGGCCTTGAGTTCGGGCCTCAGTGCTGCCCCTTCCTGCCTCCTCCCCCCCAATAAAAGTGAACCCCAGGGGCAGAGAGGACTCACTGTGCACGCAGAGGTCGCTGGTACAGTTGCGGGTGTCCAGATCCACCCCCTGGCAGTCCTCACCCCCATTGCGGGGCGCGGGGTCCGAGCATTCGCGTCTCCGCCAGTGCGTGCAGTCCAGCCCGCAGGCTGACCACTTACTCCACGGGCTCCAGTTGCCGTCCACTAGATGAGATACAGACACAGGGGCAGAGAGGAGGCGGCGGTCAGCCATCAGGAAGTCAAGTCTGCCAGGGTGGCCCCACTGGACCAAGCAGGATGAGCTGGACAAGGACCTGGGTTCGAGGCCAGACCCATCTGTTTGCACGTCCTCGGGCGTCCACTAGCGCCCCCTTGTGTCCACCGGCCTCGATGACGCATGCTAATGGCGAGGAGACGCGATGAGGCGCTGTGGGGCAGGAAGGGCCACGGCCCCACACGATGACCCTTCTTGTCCCAGGGCCCCGGCAGTGTGTGCAGCTCATGCCCAGCCCTACACCCTGTCCTCAACTCCACTTCAGACCCTGTGACTGGGCCCCGATGGTGGCCACGTTCCCTCCTGGGGGGGCGGGAGGGTGGGCCGAGCAGGTGTGATGGAGCCATGGCGGGGTGGGGGCAGGCTGGTGGGCGCGATGGAGCCAGGGCGCGGAGATGGTACGTGGTGAGGAACGAGGCGGGAGGCAGAGGCCGCCGGTACCTGGGCACAGGGTGGCGCAGGCTGTTTTCTGGACATTCTGCCCCTCACAGAAGGCACCCCCGTTGAGAGGCGCCGGGTTGGTGCAGCTTCGGCTCCGTTTCTGCCAGCCGCGCCCACAGCTGATACTGCAGACGGACCACTCGGTCCACGTCGACCACCCACCGTTCACTGGCCGGATAGAGAAGGACTGGGGTCAGGCAGTGGGGGTTCTGGAGGATGGGGCTTGGGGATCGAGAGCCCGGAGCTGGGGGTGTGGGGAGGAGGGGGGGCCTGCTGCCCGCCTTGGGCCTCCAGCGTCTGCTGAAGCAGATGTCCAGGGTGGCCGGGCTGGGCCTAAGCGCACAGGCACGCCACTTGGAGCCACCGCGCCACTTCCGGCTTCTCCTGGAGGTGAGAGTCTCCCACGGACTTTCCTACCGAGGCTGGCTTCGAACCCTGATCCTCAGATCTCAGCCTCCTGAATAGCTGGGATGACAGGCGTGAGCCACCAGCGCCCAGCCCTGCCTGTTTTGGAGGGGTCCTTTGGCCCTGCCTTCCATTCGGGGAACTCAGGAGTTGGGGTGTGTGTGTGTGTGTGTCCAATCACGTGTGCTACATCACACCCTGTCCGCCACCAGCCCATACCCACCCTCTGTGTCCCCCCCGATTTATGGTCCCCCCCAGAATCATTGTGTTCCCTTTGCTACTCAGGCCACAGCGGGTGAGCCTGGCCTCTGTTCCACACCCCCCCAACCCCTGGCCCCTCAGTTTTTGTGGGATCATCGCAGGTCTCACCGTAGACGATGACGGCGGCCGAGGCGCTCCGGCGACGGGCTACGATGTTCTTGGCGACGCAGGTGTAGTTGGCCGTGTCGGCCAGGCGGGCCTGGCGCACCACCAGGCTGTGCTCCCGGGTGATGTACACGTTGGGGTCCAGCGACGGGTCCACCGGGTCCTCGTTCCGCAGCCATTCCACCTGGGGGCGGGGACAAGCCAGGCCACTGTGTGGCAGGCCCCGCCCAGAGCAGAGGAAGCTCTACCCCCTCAGGGGAGACCTGAGGCCTAGGATCTTCCTCCCCCCCACCGCCCGTGGAGTGGTCACTGCAGCACCCCTTCTTACCTCAGCGGGGGGGATCCCCTCGGGTGGACGGCAGGGCAGCACGATGCCCTGCTCCAGAGACACCTCCTTGGCGAGTGGCTCTTGCTCGAAGTTCTTGCGTAAATCTGGAAGCACACAAGTTCCCGGATGAGCCTGGCCAGCTGCTCCCCCCTCCCCACCCCCACCCATCCTTCAGGGGCTGTGACTCACGGGCAGTGGCCCTAGTTTCTCTGCCCATCAATTCTAGACTTTTTTTGTTTTGGTCGGTTGTGAGGCTTGAACTCAGGGCCTGGGCGCTGTCCCTCAGCTCTTCTGCTCAAGGCAAGCACTCTACCCCTTGAGCCACAGCACCACTTCTGGTTTTCTGAGTGGTTCTTGGAGATAAGAATCTCCTGGACTTTCCTACCTGGGCTGGCTTTGAACCACGATCCTCAGATCTCAGCCTCCCAAGGAGCTGGGATGACAGGTGTGAGCCACGGCGCCCGGCTGACTATGGGGGTTTTTCTGACCAGCCCCTCTCTCTTTGTTTTTCCCCTGGGGGAAGCGTGCTGCCCCTCCCCAGGGCTACCTCCACCACCCCCCTGCTCCCCAAGAGCGGCCTGGCCCGGGACTCACAGGCGATGCGGATGTAGGCCTTCTGGCTCTTGGTGGTGCCAGATGAGCTCCATGCCACGCACTGGCACCAGTATTCCTCCAGCCCGAACACCTTCTCCACCTGCTGCCTGGACACGTTGATGCGAACCTCCATGGCCGGCAGTCCTGGGGCGGGGTGCGGGGAAGGCTGTCTAGCAGGAGGCAGACGATACCCAAAGCCTCCCCAACCCAGACCCCCCTCCCCACAGACCCAGGGCAGTACAGGGGCCTCTAGCAAGCTCGAGGTGGTGCTGATTTGTGTGGGGCCTGGGGTCCAGCGCTATTTACTCTGTCACTGGAGGCTTGGAGTCACAGAATGCGACAGAAATGTCCTCAAAGGGGATTTTCAATTGCTTATGTATTTATTTGGTGCTGGTCCTGGAGCTTGAACTCAGGGCCTAAGTGTCGATGTTTAGCTTTTTGTTGTTGTTGGTTGTGGGGCCTGAACTCTGTTCCTGGGCGCTGTCCCTCAGCTCTTCAGCTCAAGGCTGGCGCTCTACCACTTGAGCCACAGCGCCACTTCCAGTTTTCTGGTGGTTCATGGGAGATAAAGAGTCTCCCGGGGACTTTCCTGCCCTGGCTGGCTTTGAACCGTGCTCCTCAGCTCCTAGGTAGCTAGGATGCCAAGGTGTTCAGTAACAGGTGCTGGCCTTTAAGGACGCCAGCTAGAAAGGATGGGGGCAGACAAGCTGAGCTCTGGAGCTTTTTTTGGGGGGGTCCTGGATGGTGGGGGAGGGTCTTCTGCCCGCCCACCTCCCCGGAGACCCCTTGGTGGGCCGTGCCAGGCTGTAAGAGAATCAGCCATTCACCATGTAATGACAGTCATTATGGCAGATGATAGACCCTGGAGATTTCTGGCGGCTTCCGACATGCTGGGGGGGACGGTGGTGGGGACATCTTACTTGGGGGACCCTGTTCTTTCCTGCTCTTGTTTCTAAGCACATCCACAGCTGGCTGGTGATCTGGGCTGGGAGGAAGAGGTCCTAGGACCCCATTGGGCCCGATCAGGGTGTCCTAGAGGGACCCCCCCAGCCTGGCCCCAGATCCACACCCCCCATCCAGACAGCAGGGCTTGCCCCTTCTGACGATGCTCACGGGGGGCTGCCAGGCCTAGCTCTCCTCTCCTGGGCTGTAGCCAAACCCAGTGTCCCCAGCAGTGAGTGAACACTGTTTGCTTCCAATTCCTCCTCCCTCTGACCCCAATTTCTCTCGGGTCACTGGCTTATCAGAAAGAGAGAGGAGGCCCGCTGCCAATGTGTTTCCTTTGTGAACAGAGAAATTCAATTAGGGCTGCGCGGTAGAGGAAGAAGCCAGCGCAGCTGCGCGGCGGCTGTTTTCATTTCTCCGACGCCCCCCCATTTCCTAGACCCCCCCTGCACCCCAGATCTCACGATGGGCCCTAGACACCTCTCTCTCTCATTCATCCTGCCCCCCAAGAACCAGTGGGGGCCCCTCAGACTGGGAAGTTGGGAGTGATCAGTGCTGGGACTGCTATCCATAGTTCTGGAACATTCTCCTGCCCCTGTACTCTCTTAAGGCCCTGTCCGAGCATGCCCCTCAGCGCTGGGCACCGAGGGGTTTCTCCCCAGAGTGGGTTTAGCAGAGAGGGGCAGTTACTGATGAAGGGAGATTCCAGAACATTCTCCACCAGGTACTTAATCTTCCTCAGGGTAGACAGGGCTGTGGACAGTCCCTCTGTCCTCTGCAGCGTTTGGTGGCATTTGGCCTTCGCTTGGTCCTCCTTTGCTCTTCACACACACCAACCAGGCCACTCAACTTGGGGACAGAAGCCCTAAATTTTCTTTCTTTTTTCTTTAGTGGTTGGTGGTGGGGCTTGAACTCAGGACCTGGGCGCTGTCCCTCAGCTCTTCAGCTCAAGGCGAGCGCTCTACCCCTTGAGCCACAGCACCACTTCCGGTTTTCTGGTGGTTTATTGGAAATCAGAGTCCCATGGCCTTTCCTACTCTGGGCTGGCTTTGAACTGCGATCCTCAGATCTCAGCCTCCTGAGTCACTAGGATGACAGGTGTGAGCCACTGGCACCCGGCTCTAAAGTGTTCTTTTGATTTCCCTTTGTTTCTCCTCTTCCTCTGTCCCAGTGGCCACCTCTTCCTGCAGCCAGGTTCATCTAGGACACTGGTGCTCCACGCAGGCCCTGGAGGTCATCAGCGACTGACCCCAGCCTGCCTGGAGCATGCGCGCGCGCACCAATGCACAGGGCATGTGGGTGTGCCACGGTGGGGGGAGGGGGGCTGCTGGGTGTTTCTGGAAGGAGGGAGATTGACGGGGGAAGGGGGGGGGCGCTCTGGGACCAAGCTGCACCTCCGGTTCTCACCTCAATCTGATTTGAATAACTAATTGAGTTAGTTTAATACACAATAAATTATCCTCCCGGACCAGACGCTAATGCCAGCTTTCACGCATCTCAAGCTTCTGTGGCTTTTCCAGCCTCCGGGATGGGGAATGAAATAAGAGGGGGTGCTTGTCTTCTGGGGGTGTCTTTTCTGCTCCCCCCCTTACCCTTCACCAACAGGCAGATGCAGGCGGATCTCTGCCGATCTCCGTGCCTCAAAGCTCAATGTGGCTCCGGGGCGGGAAGTCAAGGCCATTGTGCTGGCCTTGGAGGCCAGAGGATGGAGGCCCGGGGGGGGGGAGGCCCAGGGACACTGCACGTCTGTGGGTGACTTCTCTGCTTGCGGGGAGCAGCGTGGAGCACCCCTGGGGAGTAACCCCAGGTTAAGGAGCCGCTCAGGAAGACCAGGCACAGGACAAGGTTAGACTGGAGCCTTCTGGAAGGTTCCAGGGTTAGGTCTTCAAAGTCACAGGACAGGCTTCAAGCAACAGCTGGCTCTTTACCTGTCCTTCCTTCCCCAGTGGGAGATGACTTCTGAGGTGCCAAAAGTGGCTCTGACCCCCCCCCCCCCAGTCATTGGGTGGGAAATAGAAGCACAAATGAAGCTCAGTTGAGCCTGGGCCATCTCCGGGCTTCCGGCCTGCAGGGGATCTAACCTCCACTCCTTTATGATTATTACTTTTCGTACCAGTCCTGGGGCTTGAACTCAGGGCCTAGGCGCTGTCCCTGAACTTGTTCACTCAAGGCGAAGCGCTCTACCACTCGAGCCACATCTCTGCCTCTGGCTTTTTGGTGGTTCCTTGGAGATCAGAGTCTCCCAGACTTTCCTGCCCAGGCTGGCTTTGAACCACGATCCTCAGATCTCAGCCTCCTGAGTAGCTAGGATGACAGGCGTGAGCCGCCAGCGCCCTACCTCTCTCTCCCATGTCCCTGGCCCTGCCCTGCCCAGTTGGGGCCTTTGGTCCCTGCCCGCCGCCCCCCACCCCCCATCCTCACCGCTGCCTCCGTCCGTGCTGCGCTCGATCACGTGATCCACCTGCCGCACCCACTCCCCGTTACACTTGAAGAAGATCTGCGTGGCGGGCAGGGCCTTGCACACCAGCAGCACCGGCTTGTTCTTGACAATGTACACGTCCTCGGGCTCCACCAAGAAGTGAGGAAGCAGATCCGGGCCGGCGCCAGGAACTGGATTGGCCACTGTGGCACTTTGCTGGGCACCTGGAGCAGGGGGCAGAGGCCGGGGGTGAGGAGCGGGCCCTCCCTCCCCACGGGCTGCCAGAGCGGACGGAGTAAGGAAAGTCCAGCTTGAAGCCGGGCGCCCGTGGCTCACGCCTGTCATCCTAGCCACTCAGGAGGCTGAGATCTGAGGATCGTGGTTCAAAGCCAGCCCCGGCAGGAAAGTCCGTGAGACTCTGATCTCCCCCGATCCACTCAGAAAACCAGAAGTGGGGCTGTGGCTGGAGTGGTAAGGCACCAGCCTTGAGCCAAGCCCTGACTTTAAACTCTGGTACTGACACGCATGTGCATGTGTGTGCATGTAGTGCTGACACGTATGTGTGTGTGCGTGTGCACACACGCATGCATGCACAGGAGGCTGCGTGGGTTCCAGGATGGGAGTCCCAGGGGCCCGGATGGCTTTCTCCCTCGTTGAGAGATCTGAACGCGGGTTTCCTTCTAATTTTAACCAAAACCCACAACTATCCCACAAAGGCATTTGTTGCTAATTACACAGGTAATTGGCTCTGAGGCACTGGCAGAGGTAAACCCCAGAGCTGTCTGACACGTCTGCCATCTGCCCGCCCGTCAGGATCCCTGAGGGGGTGGGAGGGTTTAGCTCTGACACTACCCCTCCCCCCTCCCCCCTGCCACACACCAAACAGCCCCCTCCCCCCCCCCAGGGCAGCAGTGAGCCCCATCAACTGGCACACAGCAAGAAGATGGGCAGAAAGAGGAGAAATGCCTCCAAACAGGGGTTTCTGAGATCCCCCCCGCTCCGATCTGCTCCATAGGGGAGTCCAGAGGTACCCCCTCTTTCTTCTGTCTAAAGCCCATGTGGAGCCGGGCGCCAGTGGCTCACGCCTGTCATCCTAGCCACTCAGGAGGCTGAGATCTGAGGATCGCAGTTCAAAGCCAGCCTGGGCAGGAAAGTCTGGGAGACTCTGATCTCTAATGAAGCATGAAAAAAACAAAAAGGCCAGAAGTGCAGGCCACAAGTTCAAGTCCCAGTACCTGCACATGCGCACGCGTGCACACACACACACACACACACACACACACACACACACGCATGAGCGTGTATAGCCTTAGATGGGGAAGGCCGGCTCTTTGTGGGTACAGAGGGTGTTTGTGCCCACAGTTGGCTCCCTCTCCCCTCCACCCCGCCTCCAGCTCCCTCCCCTGCAGCTCCATGCAGGCTGCATGTTTTCCCTGTCCTGTCTCCTTGCGGGACTTCTCCCCCACAGCTCCAGAAAGGGGTGCCAAGGACGCACAGCCTGGGAAAATGGAGGCGTCTCTCTCTCTCACACAGGCACGCCTGCCCGGCGCCTACCCTCCCCGGAATCACATCCAGATCGGGAAGACGAAGGAAGGCAAGTGGGGTTGGTGGGGAACCATCTAGAACCTTGCAACGAGGACACGTGTGCCCACACAATGCCACGGACTGAACCCGGGGCCTCTGGGGATGCCAGGCGCTTATGATCCACTGCAAACCCCCCCATCCACCATATTTGCTCCCCCTCCCTCTCAGGAGCCCCCCCCCAGCTCCGGGATCAGGAAAGGTGAGGCTAAATCCTGCTTGCTGGAGAATGAAGGGAGCAGTGCTGGCAGCGGGGCTCTGGCTGGTACAGTCTAGGCTGCTCTGGGCATGCACCTGGACAAGCCCCAGCCTCCCAGTGGATGCCAGGGCTGCCCAGATGGGGGGTGATGGGGGACAGGGCATTTCAAACGCTTCCCCCCTGGCAGATGCCAGGCTGCTCTGTTGTGCCCCTTGCTGGGCAGAACCCCTATGGGCTGAGCTGGGCCTGTCTCTTGGGGGAGGGGAGGCTGGGTGCCCCCCCAGCTGGGTGTGGGGTGAGGCAGGGAGTAAGGGGGACCACTCCCCCACCCCGCTATCCATCCGCAACATGGGGTGATGCTCACGTCCGCCGCCCCGCTGAACCCTGGCCAGCCGCATGTCTGCATTTAACTGCTAATGAAAAAGAAATGTTCTGTGACCAATAAGGACACAGCTCGCTTCTCCAGGGCCTCAGTCAGGCCACGCTGGTGTGGGGGCACACCTCCCCCCCGGGGCCCCCTCCAGGCGGTGCCCTCTAGCAAGGACGTCCTATGGCCACGGGGCGGAGGCGATGGTGGCGCTGCTTGGTGGCCTCCGCCCTGCGGTCAGCAGCTGCGCGGCCGCTCTCCCGAGCTCGGTCACGGGGATGGGCGATCGCCTCTTTGCCATGAGTCCTGGACTCAGCGTCCGATGATCTGAGATCCCCAAGACAGTTGCTCCCCCCCCTTCTACTCATGTAGCTGGCAATCTGGGAGCTGCAGGGGGCGGCGGTGGCGTCCATCTCTACCACCTGATTGCCTTGCTGGACCCCAGCTCCAGGCTGCTTACCCCTGGGCCCTGGGAGTGGGGTGCTTCCCACTCGGCCTCTGGGCTTCTGAGGGCCAGGCTGGGCACTGGCTGCAGATGGTTCCTATGCCTTGGAGGCCGGGGGGCACAGGTGCAGGGCCTGTGAGACCAGTGAGCAAGAAGCTCACTCAACCCCAGACCCCAGAGGCCCCTCCCCCAAGCCCCAGAGGCCCCTCCCCCAGGCCCCAGAGGCCCCTCCCCCAGGCCCCAGAGGCTCCACCCCCAGGTCCCCAGAGGCTCCTCCCCTAGGTCTCCAGAGGCTCCACCCCCAGGTCCCAGAAGCCCCTCCCCAGGCCCCAGAGGCTCCACCCCCAGGTCCCCAGAGGCTC